GGGGTTGGGCCAGAGGTCGGGGGAAGGGGAGGTGTTGAGGGTCCTCAGTGCTGCTGCAGAGGCGGGAGAGGCTTCTGCCAGCACTGCTGTGCTCACCAGCCAGAAGCCAGGCTCCCTGATCCTTAGTGCTACCTCCCTTGGAGACGGGAGAGGCTCCCTCAAGCTTGGCAGCTGTGAGCCCGCTTCTGGCTGAACGGTGCTCACCCCGTGGGAGCGCACTCACCACCAGGGGCAGCTCCTGCATTGAGAGTTTGCCCCCTGGCTGTAAGTGCATATCATAGCGAGTAGTCATTCCGCTTTTCGGTCGTTTTGCATATTAGGGTTTTATTCTATAGGATGCTTGACCTGTACTTGCAAAATGCAATGTTAATTTTTAAATATTTTACCCACTTATTTTGTGGAAACTTTGGTTATAGTGTGTGTTGTTGGAAATGAGATATATTCCTTTATTTAATGCTTCTAAAATAAAATGGGTGAGTTGTAGTTAGTTTAAAGAAATGAAAATTTAAAATAAATTTATGTAAAAAATTAATATTACATAAACTCAATGTTTTTTTTCAATATTTTCTTATGTAACTCCTCATGAAACATGCCTACAAAGGGTATCCTATCTAATACTAGACAAACATGGTAATTGACCATATCTTCGTTATGCCTCCCATTGGCTAATCAGCACAATATGCAAATTAACCACCAACAAAGATGGCAGCTAATTTGCATACTGCAGGAAGGGTGGGACAGTGCCATCCTGCCTGCTCTGCAGCCATCAGGGCCTGCTATCTCTGTCCCAGGGCGACGGGCATCCGTGTGCAACCCGACCCGGGGCAGCACCCCAAACCCCAATCGGCCCTGCATGTGCATGACCTGGGGAGGCGGGGTAGGCAACGAGGGATCGGGAATTGCACCAGTCCTGATAGGTGTCTATGATGCAAAATGGTATCAGGAGATATTGGTATTGTTCACAGCCTCCCCAGGACGGACAGACAGACAGATAGACACACATGAAAATACACATGTAGGCATGCTCACTGCCTCTGCTCACTCCCCCTTCCTTATCTTGCTACAGGCTCATTTTGGAGAGGGATCTGCAAAGCCTGGTGTGTGGCTGTGCTGAGGGGACAGTTTGCCAAGAAGACTCTCGCTCTGGTCTGAAGGAGTCGGATGCTCTCTGAGGCCATGACCTTGTCGCAGGACCCCTTCCCTCCCTGCTTACCACTGTTTCCCACGTTTCAGGTTTTGGAATGAGCCAGAAGGTGGGC